TCGGATTGTGACTGGGGATGAGAAGTGGATATTCTATGATAACCTCAAGAAGAAAAATACTATGCTAAGTCCGGTCAATCATTGCCATCGATCTCAACATCAACACCACTGCCGAACATTCATGGTTCGAAGATCATGCTCTGTATCTGGTGAGACCAAAAAGGGTCTTGTTTACTAAAATCTGGCGATTCCATTACGGGCGATCGGTATCGGCTACAATTGATTCGTTTGAGCCGTGCATTGCGAGAAAAACGGTCGGAATACGAGCAAAAACATGATAAAGTTATTTTTCTTCATGACAACGCTCGGCTTCATGTCGCTAAAAAAATATTTGGAAACGCTCAAAGGGATGTTTTATCGCACCCGCCGTATTCTCCGAATGCTTGCTTCTTCTGATTACTGGTTGTTCCGAAGGATTTGGCAAGTCACCGGTCCACTTTTTTCGCAGAAATCGAAAATTAGCTCCAAAATTGGATCGCCTCCAAAGACGAATCATTTTTTTGAGGTGGAATTCGAAAATTGCCTGAGAGATAGGAAAAAGTAATAGGTAGCGATGGACAATACTTTATTGATCTGTTCATTCATTTTGTTTTGAAATATGCATTTTTGAACGGACTAATTTATAAATAATCTCCCAATAATTGTAAATTAACAATTGTAAATAATTTATTTTATATTTAAATTATATACTATTATATTAACTGAATAATTTTTTAGCGCATATATCCGCGCTTGACTCTTATTATATGCCTATATATTTTCATGCTTCTAATTTTTGAAAAAAATGTTTCAAATAAAAATTGTAGAGTTTGAAGAAGATCATTAGATGAACTATTTATATTTTCAATCTATTTTGGGCCCAATAAGACTCAAATTAATTTGTTTTTTAATCTAAATAACTCGTTTAATGGCCCTCTTCAAATTCTACAACTTGAAAATTTTTTTCCAAACTGTATTATGAGATATTTTGTGTCAAAGTTAAAATAATCAAATATCAAATCAGGTACAGAATCTACAGGATCCTAGAATTTGACTATCTGAAATATTTATTTCAAACGTAATCTTTCGACTGATAGTGTTAGTTTTTTTTATATCGCTTTTGCATTTAGGAACGTTCTCTTATGAACACAGTATTGAATAGGAATATTCCTTTTTCGATCAAAATGAATATAAAAATACTGTTCTATTTATAAAGAAAGAATTACAAATGTTCATGAACAAAAACGAATTTATGTCCTCAGATATCATTCATTTCAATTTATTTCAATCCACCTCCGGGCTCTAAAACATGAACTCGAACAAATTAAAATGAATTGCAATTTTTAATTCATTTTAATTCATTTTCGTTTACTGGGAAAATATTTGATTGTTATTGTTCATATATCTATAAATATTTATTGTTTTTATTTTTTAACCTTTCGTTGATATACTGTGAATCATTCACAAAATTATTTTAACTTTCTGAAACTCAATTTTCTTTTATTTTGTAGAACAAAAATACAATGTTTATAAAAAATAAAAAATTTTAAATATTAATCAGGCTTTCGAGATTGAAAAATATAATCAAATATATCGGGCTAAGAGTTTAACACAGCGCGGAAATTGTTGCGCAAATTTCAATATAATTGATTAATAACATCTACATAAAAATATCATCTACATATAAATATAAATATACAATAGTTGTCTGTACCATTTTATTTGACGTTTCGATTTTCTTCAAACCATCATCAGCGAATCCATAAATATTATCGTGGATGTTTTGACAATGTTGAAATTCAAATCTTTATAAGACTGAGGATGAGTGTTTCTCTACTTTCTGGTTGAAAATAATCGTGATTTGTCTTTTCGTTAAAAAGAAGTATGTCAATGAACTTTAAAATGCGCGGCAAAATGATTTTTCGGTTTTGAGATGCAAACTCTACTAAACTACCGCAGTAATATCACGAGTTAACTTGACTAGCAATTTAATAATTTAATTTTTTCGCATCTGAATGATCTTAATAATGCTGAGTGACATATTAAAATCTAAAGGGCTACATACGTATAAAACAAATCATATAAAACAAATTCACACAGAATCATAAGCACTTTAAGGCATTGATTTCTATATGTTTAATTTAATCAACACAAGAATAAAAAATTAAGATTCTTTCAAACCAAAACACAATAAATATACAAAATCAAGGCAATAAGAATTTGCGCTATAATTCGTGTGCTGACAGTTGATACAAATATATAAATATAAAAGATATTAGATCAAATAATAAAATTAATAATACATTAAAAATACATTAACTAATAAAACGAAGAACAAGAAGTACGCTTCAGCTAACTTTTAGCTTTCTTCAGCATTGTAAAAAACCATTCTAATCATAGATGAATTCCTGCAGTTCAGCTTGTATTGGACTTACTTTATGTTTAACGATCGGTACTATAAGCGGAATTTCAGGACACTTATGGATTCACCCTTGATTTGTAGCTGCTGATTTGGTTATGCAGAACCTTGAGGTAGAGGTGCTAAGCACTTTTGATTTTGACATCTCATTTTTTTCGTTATGCTGATGACTTAGTTATGGTCTTTCTCAGAAACCGATGAAGTATTGACTAAATTTAATCCGTTTCATCCGAGAATTCAATTTACAATGAAAATTGGTGGCCAAAAAATTAATTTTTTAAATACAACGATTATAACCGATAACGGTGATATTAAGTTTGACATATAGAGGAGACCGGGGCATAAGTCACAAAAATTCAAACTGTTAAAATGCATATAAATATAAAAATTTGTGTATCATTTTTTTTTAATAATTAAAGCATAATTTAAAATATGCATATTTTAAAATTTAATAAATATTTTAGTAAATATTTATTAAATTTATTAGTTTTTAAGAAAAAATAAAAACATATTTTTAAAGAAATAACTCATACTCGGGATATCATAAGTCACACATAAAATAGTAGAATTATGCAAGAAATAACGGTGATGAAAGTTTAAAAATATTTTCAATTAACTTATACATTCTTCTTAGTCACTAATAAAATATAATTACAACTAATAATTATTAAATAATAAAATAAAAAGTTATAAGAAAAGTTATAAGAAAATGAGAACTAATCATTAATATAAGATAAAAAATTTATTACAATAAAATAAAATTAATTGCTTAGAAGTATAAACTATTCTTTTAGTATATATATTTTCTGTCATTTCATCATAAATAATTAATGTATAACCCCAATTATACATTTAATAAAAAACTATAAAAAAAGAAATGTTAGATTATTACTTGTAACGTAGTAAGTTGGGAAAAGATGCAAATAAATTTGCATCTTATCTTCATATATGTATCTTCTATTACAAAACAATATTAAAACAATATTAAAACAATATTAAAACATTTTTATACGATTAAAAAATTATTATTGTACCACGAAAACCATAATGATCGATACTTTTTGATACGGTAGAATTTAATCACTGCCATCTAGATAAAAAATATATGGACAATGAACAATCATACTGTACCAGTATTAATTTAACCTTTTTAGGTTATATTAAACAATCGATGATTCATAGTGCCTCGGTTTCCTCTACCATAAACAAACATTCTCTGATAGATATCTTAATTTTAATTCTTAGCATTCCCTCTCATAAAAAAAGAGGCACGATTATTGATCTAATTGACAGGTTCTTTTTGCTCTCGCATCCAGAATTTCATAAAAAGAATCTTGAACATGTAATTAAAATTTTATTGAATAATGATTACTCTTTATACTTTATATTCAATATTATGTTTAAAAGTATAAAACAATTTGTCAATAAAAAGCTAATTAGTCAGAAGTAATTTCACAGACAAAATTAAAAAAAGAAAAATGTTATGTTATTCTAATAAAATGATAAATGTTATTCTGTTCATAGAGTCGGAAAAATTTAGTCAACGGTGTTGTCTCGAAATTGTCTTTTTTCAGTCTAAACAAATTGTCTTGTTTTGTCAAATTGTCAAAGATTCTCTTCCCATAAATCTTATTCTCAAAATGTAGTATAATATATAAAATATTGTGACGCTACTTATATTGGATAAACTGATAAATGGCTAAAGACTAGAATTTCTAAATATAAGAATCACATAAAAAGAAATACTATACACTAACTCTGTCATCGATGATGAATTATCAATTACAATTTGGACATGATTTTAAATGAAACGAAGTTTTGAAGTTTTTGATGTAGAGACAAACTATAGCATTTAATTTCTGAAACGATGAATATCAAACGATAAAAAAAATAATCAATTTGAATACGGACGCGAAATTAACCTACCACTGTTATTTGGATTCATAATATTGTTTATGTATATGACATTGTATTTGCCGAACTTGATCATATATGTAAGATTTTTACCATTAGTTCACATGTAATTGTAAGATTCAGAGTCTCTCTGGTCCTATCGTTTTTAATAACCTCGTCATGTTACGTTGGAGGACTTTTATATTTCATTTAGATGAATTTTTTAAATGACCTCTATCGACACTTCTCGGGTTAGTCGTTGCAATTTATCATCCAGCTTGTGAATTTTTTTGGGAGAACTCCTTTTGCCCGACAATTGCATAAGGAAGTTAGTGGACAATCCACGTTATACCATCATCTATGACTAAAATAGTTTTTTACAACACTAAAAAAGGTTAGAAGTTAACCGAAACGTCTCTTTCTTCGTTTTATTAGTTGACAATATATTATTAATTTTATTATTTGATTTATCTTCTATATTTATATATTTATATCAGCGCACGAATTACAGTGCAGATTCTTATTGCCTTAATTTTGTATGTTTTTAAACATTTATTATGTTTTGTTTAATCAGTCATTCGAGCTTGAAGATAAAATATTTTTAGTTCCAATTATTCAATTACATAATTTATTGGAATATTTTTTGTCTAAACTTATATTATTTTACCTTCATAACGTATTTTTTTTATAAAGAAAACTAGTAACAAACCTGATAAAACATTTGCCGGGAAGGAGGTACCATACCTTCCCGGTATATATACACATTCTCATATAAATGCCGCTCTTTCTTCAAATTTTGTTCCTGATTCAACGTAGCAGTAAGTACTGCAGGTTTCTGTTTAGAAACAGGTGCTGATTTATATGGTAATGTGTAATTTGAATAATTTCTTTTACATCTGACAGTTGAACCTAATCCATCTATAAATCACATGAGAGTTAATTTAATAGAATCTTATATTAAATTAAATAAAGTATATTTTAAAATTTAGATATATCTTTGATAATAAAAAATAATAACTTACGCATAGCTTTTAATCTATAATCCAATGTCTGATATTTTCTCGCATTAATATCCTTTCTTGGATCATAGCCTAGTTTTATCCACATAATTCTCCATGGTCCAGTCATAAAATAATATGCTACTGATGGTAATAATATCTTCAGTTGTTCGGATGTAAATCGTGTTTTATACATAATGGCATTTTTTGACCAGATTGGACGCTCTTCGAACAGTTGACGTACTTGCTCCAAGTGTGTGTTTTGAAGAAACTTCACTTTCATAGCTGTTTCAATGCCTTTTGGTGCTGCGGTAGGTATTTCAGATGTAGAAAAGTACACGTAACTGGGAAAGCCTGCTTTAGATTTTTTGTTTGTACCAATTACATTGTCTGAGTTTGAATCTGTTTCAGTTTTTGGTATATACTGTTGGACAGTATCCATTCTGCTGAAAACAGCTGGTGGAAGAAAATATGGTACATCATTCTTCAACCAAGAATAAAGAGGAATGCCCGTTGGATAAATTAAACTGTATATGCATTCCAATTTTTTTGGATTTAATCTGTTCTGTGTCATTGGAACATATTGAAAATCACATAAATCTAAAAAAGAAAAGATATTAATATTCATGTATATGAGAAAAATTAATATAAAGATAATACTTTGTATAATTTATATAATACGCACGCATGCACGCACAGATAATTAATTTTAATTTTAATAGATAAATATTTTGAAAAATATAGAAGATACAGAAAAATGTTTTAGACAAAAATAGAACGATTTTAAAGGAGATATATATTTTAGTCACGTTTTTTTAAAGTAAAGGCGTCAAAAAGATACGAAGATCACTTAATTTTTTTAAAATGGAATTATATTTGTTTTTTATTTAATGATTCCTTTATTTATTTTACATATAAAAGCATTAAAGTAAAGATACAAAAAAAATCAATAGTTTACGAGATATTGTATACTTTAGTTTGGCATATATTGACAATATTAAATATCTCGTAAATCATTGATTTTTCGATAATTGAACCTTAATACTTTTATGAACAGAATAATGAAATGAATCAATTGTGAAAAAAACACATAATCGTTTATTTACAAAAGTATTTTGTTTACATATTTTTTTTTAACAAATATGTTTTTTTAACACCAATTGATTTATCTTCTTATTCTATTCTTAAAAATATTAAGAAATAATTATCAAAAAATTCATAGTTTACGAGAAATTAAATATTTTTGTCAATATGAATAAGACAGAATAAAGTATAACTTACTCTGTAAACTACTGATTTTTTTATTTATCTACTTTAATATTTTTATAATGCAAAATAATTAGAGGAATTGTATTAAGTTAAAAGATTATATTGTATAATTCCATTTAATGAAATAGAGTAATGACCTTCGTATCTTTTTGACTCCTTCATTCTAGAAAAAAAAAAAACCAAATACGACTCCCTTGAAATCGTTCTTATTTTCTGAAATTTTTCTGAAGTTTTTCTATATCTTTCACATTTTTCGAATATTTATGTCATAATATTAAAATGAATCACCTCGCGTATACAGAGTATGTTCCTTATATAACATACTTTGTTATTTCATAAACTAAAAGAGGTAAACTTAAAAAAATATATCAAATTAAATTGTTTTAACTAACTCTATTATAAGCACAGTAATCACTTAGAAAAATTATCTGTGTTAAAGACTGGAGAGATATGTATAATTTTTGAACGATAAAATAAATATTTTCATATAATAAAAGTTGTAGTGTCTGTTCTAATGAATACAACAATATATGTATAATATAATAAAATTACAAATTATACAAGTTATTTTGAGTTAAGATTTTACGTAGACTATTACTTTTTCAGTTTTGGTTAGGTTAGGTTACGATATAGCCAACTTCGAAACTGAAAAAATAATAATCCCTGCAAAACCTTAAATTGAAATATTTTATACAATTTTATATATTTCTAAAATAATTTTGTTTCGTTTATTTCGTTATATCATATATTACATATTGTATTTGTTAAAAGAGACGGTATAACTTGTTTATTTATTGATTATATCAAAATATTTTTTTATGTGTAAAAATTATGCATATCTCTGTTCTGTAATATGGATAATTTATCTAACAAATAAACCTATTTTTCATTTGCCGAATTTAATGAAACTTAGTACATTTGTAGAGCAGCCAAAAATAATAGACACGTATTTTTTTTATATCAGCAATGGTTTGAGAATGAAAATTACTATTACAGTAATAAGTGCGACCACCTAATTTCTTGCATTTTACTCTATTAAAGCTACTGCTAAATTTTAGAGGTGATAAGAGACTATCATGTTTCTTGAAAGCAAAGCCAGTATAAAAAATGTAAAATTCAAAATGGCACACTTAATGTGGCGACTTGCTGAAAGAGAAACAATCTTATCTCGCTCCCAGGAATAACTGAGGTCTATTCCCATTTCTTTTTTTTGCTTTTGTTCTTTATTTTTTTAATATTTCTTTGTTTCTTTGTTTTTTTTATATTTTTATAATTTTTATAATATTTGTAATTTTGTAGCGCGATTTTCATTTTTATTCTATGTATTCTTTACAAAAAGGATATTGAAAAATTCTTGTATGTATAAAGATTTTGTTTTACACCAAGCGCATTTTATTACTATTACATTATCACATATCAAAGCACAGAAACTTTCACAATTTTTGAAACAGTGATCTACAGGATTATCAAAATGAAGTGGCTTCTTTTCTAAATATTCACTTTTGTACGAATATTTAAATAAATTTATAAAACGAGAAGAAAATAATTAATTATGTATAAGCGATTGAAGTTTGATAACATTGTTTCTTAAGTGTAAGTTCATGTAATTATACAAAATAACTGTTTGAAAATGTTTAATGAAATTTTTCTAAATTCTGAAGCTAAATACATCGAGAGATTGAATCATCCCAGTTGTTCCTGCAGGAATTAAAAAAATTTTAATATTTTTTGATAACTTATCCATTGCCTCAAATATTTTCAAATTTTGACTACTCTATGAATCTAAAATATACTATCGTTACAATTAGGAAGATAAACATTTGTAAATCATATTTTTACAAGATTTGTCGATGTTTTACCTGAATTTGAAGGTAATATAACATTACTACATTTAAAAAGATTTGCTTCTACTCGAGATCTAATTCCATATTTTTCTTGTATATAATAATTAACAGCAGTGACAAAAGAGAATCACTGATATGATGGGTTGTATAACTATATATCATTGAATTCGTTGATCAATATAAAAAAATATAGAAACAAAAAAAATAAAGAACAAAAGCCAAAAAAAAAGACGAAATGGGAATAGACTTCGTCAGTTATTCCTGAGTTCGGCAAAGCGCGAGATAAGATTGTCTCTCTTTCAGCAGGTCGCCATATTGAGTGTGCCATTTTGACTTCTTTTTACACTGAATTTGTTTTCAGGAAACGTGATAGTCTCTTATCATCTATAAAATTTAAAATTTAGTAGCTCTAATAGAGAAAGCTAAAATGCAAGAAATTAGATGCTCACTGTAAGCATAAGGATAATTTTCACCCTCAAACCTGCACCATTGCTGCTATAAAAAAACATTTCTATTCTATTATTTTTGTCTCTGCTCTACAAATGTAGCTTCATTAAGTTTCATTAAATTTGGCGAATGACGAAAAGGCTTGTAAGTCACCATGCTTACAATAGAATAATTTAATATGATATCCCAGATAGAAAAATTTCGCTAAAATTTCAGTGAAATTTTAGAGAAATAAAATTAATTAATCTTGTTATTGCTAAAATAAATATTATTGATTATTATCATATTCTAGAGCACATATGATAAAATTGTAAAAAAATGTTTCCCCCTGAATTCGGGAATTAATTTTATGGCTCTTAAAGGATCACCCATTATAATGCATATCTTGCGTTGATGCAATGGGAAGATGAGAATTGTTTCTAATCGATAAATATCCATAATGTTAATGAACGTATAGTTGTAACATCTGATCAAAAATGTAAGAAAGATGAACATATTGTTATAAATGCATATATATGATATTAAAAATCCTTTTTAATATCTTACAATAATTTTTGTATGTAAGTGTAAAATTTTTCACAAAAGTTATTAATGTATTAATTTAAAAAATTAAAAATTAAAATGATAATATATGATGCGCAATTAAATAAAACAATTATAATCAAAATTATAAAAGGCTACGAACAAAAAGCTATTACTTGCTAATATTTAATCAATTTAAACGTTTTGATCACTTATGAAATCATTTTCAATATTGAATAAACAAATTAATACAAAAAAATAAAATTAAAAAAAGAAGTAATAATAAGACGATTTAATAAGATTATTAAAGATTAGCAAATAAAATTTGTTCGTAGCCTTTTACATTTTAGTTGTAATTGTTTTATTAAATTGAGCATCATATATTATCATTTTATTAATTCATGCGGGCGAGAATAATGCGTCTTATTACTTCTTTTTCAATTTTACTTTTGTATATTAATTTGTTTATTTAACATTGAAAATGACCTCCGCCTTACAGAACTCTGCCTGGGATAGATTAGAAAGTAATCGTCACGGCCGGTTCCAAGCCTGAAGAAAGAAGGAGGGTTAGCATGTTGGGCTAGCAACTCGCTGTAAAACAATGTACATTCATAGTTCTGCTAATACAGTTTCAAAACAAGGATGGATCAAAGAAATAAAGACATGGCAAGGAAGAGGAAAAAACGAATATGGAAAATGAATATATTTAGAATCAGATAATGTCATCATGGAGGACATCATGAAGGAATAAAGACCAAGAGATCAATAGACCAAAAGATCATAGAACTCACTAAACACAGAATAGACATCTGCAAAATCTCGAAAACGAAGAAAAAAGACAAAGGCAATGTTAGATACAAGAAATATATCCTGTTTTACAGCAGAAAAGACAAGAATCAAAGGGCGCAGGAAGGGGTAGAGATACTCATACATGAAAGGCTTAAAAATCACATAGATTAAATGAACTACTATTAACAACAATTTAACACATTTAGTGTTAAAATTCCAAACAATAAGAATACTAAGTACTAAGTATCTACGCACTCGACATATCTAAATTGAAGGAAATCAGAGAAGATTTTACGACAAACTCCAGGATATTCTAAATGGCATATCGAAAAACGACAGGATATTTGTGATCAGACTTTAATGCAAGAATAGATAACACATCTCTGTCGGGCATAATGCAAAAGTTTAATAAAAAGGAGATAAATGATAACGGTCTTCTGATCTCGACATGCGTCATTTAAAATGCATGTTTTAAATGAGCTTCGAATTAACAATATCTTTTTTGAATATAAAGTGTAACACAATACACCTTTACGACACTACTTAATCGAACACTACTTAATCGAAAATGACAAATGTCGAATTAGATGATTTCGACGTTGAATCGACATCGGTTTAATGTCAATTTCATTGTCATTTCTCACTAGAGGCCAGAAGTCGGCCATCGATTACATAGTACCAACAGAAGAATTCATCCATAGATTCTAAATGTCTGGATTCTAAAATCAC